ATCGGAATATTTTTCAAACAACTCAGGCGTTCTTCAAGGCAGCAATTTGGGACCGCTGCTATTCTCCATATTCATTAACGAAATCGGTTTGATACTTCCAACTGGCTGCCGGTCATTCTATGCAGACGATGTCAAGATGTCCGTGGTTGTGCGATGCTTCACTGACTGCCTGCGGTTGCAGCACCTGATCGATAGTTTCGAAGAGTGGTGCTCTAGGAATTTTCTCACGTTGAGTGTCCAAAAATGCAATATCATCACTTTCCATCGCAAGCTAAAACCTATTGCATTCAATAATACGACCGATAACCAACCTCTGCAGCGTGTGGACAACGTTCGTGATGTAGGAATTACACTTGATTTTGCTTTGACATTTAAGCTACATTACACGGATATCAGTGCTAACATTTGAAAACGGCACAAAAGCCATTTGTAAACAAATGGTTTGTGGGCCCTTTACTCACTACTTGAAGTACACCCACGCGACACAACAGCAACATCGGGTAGGGGAAATTTTCCCCTTCCTGACGATGCTGTTGGTTTGCGTGGGCGTTCTTCGGGTAGCGAGTAAAGGGCCCACAAACCATTTGTTTACAAATGGCTTTTGCGCCGTTTTCAAATGTTAGCACTGATATCATAGCCAAAGCTAACAGGTAACTCGGATTCTTCTTTAAGATCTCTGATGAGTTTCGGGATCCTACCTGCCTGACAGCTCTATATTGTTCTCTAGTGCGATCGATCTTGGAATTTGGTGTAGTAGTATGGTGTCCGTATGAAACAGTTTGGATAGCGAGGATCGAGTCTGTTCAGAGAAAATTCGTTCGTTACGCTCTTCGCCACCTTCCTTGGTACGATCCTACGAACCTTCCACCCTACGAAGATCGTTGCCAACTACTGGGTATTGAAACTCTTGAACGCCGGCGGAAGATTAAACAGGCAGTTTTTGCAGCAAAAGTGCTGATAAGCGAAACTGACTCTTCCGGGATTTTGGCTGAATTCGAAATCTATGCACCTGAACGAGTTCTACGAACGAGAAGTTTCCTGCATCTCGGACCCCGTGCTGCTAATTACGGATTACATGAGCCAATACGGTTCATGTCTGCCCGTTTCAATGAATTCTATGTTTTTTTTTTTCGATTTCAACTGCACAGTGGAAGCATTGGAGGCGAACCAGCCCCAGGCTGAAATCCTCCCTAATAAAGATAAATAATAATAATAATGCACAGTGGAAACATTTCGTCAACGGATTCAACGTAGTCTGCTGGATAGATGACGATACGGTTCGACACATGCAACTGCTTTCAATCAGCAAATTGTTGCAAGACGGTGAGTAGCTGTCCATTAATGTACACCTGATGAATTTTGCTACCTGATTCATTTTTTGTTCCCGATCAACTCTGCGATGACGGCCTCGACTGATCCAAGGACAACTCCATGCCATAGGACGAGGTTATTTTTTTTTATGATGAAGACCATAGTATTATTATTATAATTCGGTGTTTATTTTTATAATTGATGTGTTTTTCTGTCCCTTTTATATTGTTCCTTGTATTTTGAAAAGATATGGGGTTTTTACGCCTATTTGCGCAAATATTTGCCAAATAAGATTTTCCCCATCAATCTTCATTTAGACAACAAAAGTCCGATGAAGAGAATAATGAATAAATAAATAAATAAATAAATAAGATACTGTCAAGCTTTGCGTGAAGAAAAGGCAGCTCACTGATACCATAGTGGAGTGAAGAGATAGACGAATGATTTTACCATAGGACTAAAGAGTTGCAGAGTCGTCGTCTGCGCCAATGTTTACTGAGCCTGCAACCATATTTCTGCTTCTCTTTTATAAGAGCCAATGTCACAAACGTAAACAATGATTTTTTCCGCGAATTTCTCGAGAATGAAAAACCTCTTAAGTAAAACACCACAATGATTGTGTAGAGGGAGAGTTTCGCTATCCGATAGAAATGGTGGCTTAGATGGATTAACTTTGAAATACGAGAAATTAACGCAAGAAGCCATTGTTTACGGTTTTGACATTAGTACTTCGGAACGCTCAGTCTCGATATCATGAAAATTTTAATTTGACAGATCTATGGCCAACTATACCAGTTATACCACTGTGGCAATATAAAAGGGGTCAACTTTTAGTCAGTTATTTTGCATGAAGTTCCACATATGTTATGTGCTAGTACCATAGAGGTAACTCTAAGACTAGTTGGTCCCGAAGAAAAGTGCTCAAATTTTTGGCTCAGCTCTGGTACTATCTTCGGTCCCAAGCTAATCGATGCACCCCTCGAAACATAGGAAAATACACGGACCCCTCATTTTATCTGTTAAACGTTCATGGCAAATTAAAAACAAACAGTGTGTAGTACTAGAACTCCGACTAGAATAGGGTACGTTAATCGATTTGCTTGGGACCAATAGGCTTGTCAAGTAGTGAGCCAATTTAAAAACGATAGTTTTGTATTGATTGTTGCTGTTTCGTATTGATTGTTGATTGTTAATCATTTTACCACAAACAAACAGACATAACATGTTCATCAAATAAGCATTTAACGGTTAATTTAAAAGTATCGTAGTTGGTAGTACCGCCACCTGTGGCGCGCATAGTCAATTCCGTGGCGTTTGACGTTTACACACTACCGCCATCTGTTCAGCGTACTACCCACCACAGTGTACTAAACAGATGGCGGTAATGTTTTAGCGACGATGTTTTACAGTGAGAAATATTCAATGTGTTATGTCTGTTTGTCTGTGATTTTACATCGACCTTTGTCGAATATATATTCAATATAAATAGCTGAACGTTTGTTCTTCCAGCTTGTTTGTTGACTTTTACAAAACTAACGTTCAGATCAGTCCTATTTTTGGTTTTATATTATTTGAATGAAAACATAAAAATATGATACGATAGAGGTTCAATATGATAAAATATTAACGCATTAGATTTATTTCATCAGAAGCGTTTATGAACTATTTTCACTAGAAAATATGTATGTCATTCGACTGCTGAAAAAGACATTTGCATCTTTTCAATAATTCAATCGACGATGTCGAAGATATTCTTTTTTTAATTCGTTTGTAGAACTTTTGCATTAACTATACCACTATTACTGGAACAGCTACCCTAGCGATTTTTGTGTTGGAGAAACAAATTAAACTACATAGACTGTGACAAATACCCCTCGCCCTGTTCGTAGACTAGCGTAGACTTTTTGCAACTCCCTCCATCCCCCTAGAAAGTCTACGTGGTTTATGAATTTCCCATTTCATCTGAAAAGCTATATAATGAGCTCTTTCCTTTTTACATTTCCATATTTTCAACCCTGAAAAATTATTCCCGCAACTGTTATTTTGTTTGAGTTTTCCTTAGTTTGAACTATCTAACAATGTTAGTCGTTTCGCTTCGTCCTTCCTATTACATATTACTGTTTTCATTATTTGTAGCGGAAGGGATTTTGATTCAATTTCTGTCCTACCCGCGCTTAACCTATCTTTTTCGAACGGATTTGAATTTAAATAATTGATGTATCTACTACAGATGACCTCTAGATTCATTTCCCTCTCCATACGTACTGTTGGATTTGATGAAGGATCACAAATTGCTTAGATTTTGTTAAAAATCTAACACTGCTTCTTGATTCCAATTCCATCATACGAGTTTCAATTCCGTCCTAACGCACTGAAACGCCATTGGACTTTTTTCGTCATAAAGATGAAAGTAGGAAAAGTGGATTAGCTTGAATTGCTTCTTTTGTTTGCGAGAACAATGGGTGTAAATATTCATACTTTGCGCTCTTATAGGCTTTGCGTTATACCTTTTGAACTTAATATCGCATTGAGCACTGTGAAATTATTAATGTGATTGATGTGTTCTACTCGATAGCACTGAAATACCCCATTACGACGAAGAAGCGCTCTACCCTAGTTGAAACGTCTGATAGCCATTATAGTTTTTTTTTTTTTTTTCATCGGAAATAGTTGAACCAACACAGGACAAACCGACCTTGTCAGCCTTTCCCCTATAATCAAGAGTAAGAAACTCGCAATGCCACCTTCATTAACAACCGACCAATCGACTGTCCGTGACAACCTCGAACAGAAGGGAACAGGATAACCAGCCAGCACGAACAAAAACATCCATTCCAGGACAGTAATCCTCAATCATCTGCTTGCGAACACTTTTGCGTTTCCCCAACGGACAGACACTCTGTTATTGAACGCACAACTACGTGAGCGTGTGTGTGTGTGTCATATTTGGTTGCTCGTGCGTACCAACACACTTCACTGCTGTCGGTCCCTCTTTTTCCCCATAAACAGGACCTTGTTTTCCCACCCAACCACCCATCCTTGATTCGCAAAACGGCTGGCTGACATTGCTGCTACGCACTCACACATTCAAGTCGCCTAGCCGTTCGTTGTGCTCCCGTGTGTGTATGAGTGGCTCTGTTCCCTGTTACGTATATTTATGTAGCAGTAAGATTTAACACCACTAAAACTGTGCTGGCGATCGATATTTTATGTATGAAAATTTTGACATTTTCTAGGGCACCATCATTTCGCCAATTAATTCCGAGTTTTCCTGTATCCCGTTTTCGGGGAACAATAAAAGTCCGATTTCACTTCTAGATCGACAGCGATTAGGCACGGTGCATCGCTATTGACGACCCAGGATTTCTTCCCCAATTTCTGCGAAAAGGGGGGGGGGGGCAATGTCTTCCTTGAATCTCGGCTCATTCACCAGCACCACCCACTTGAAATCCATTTGCTTCGATCAGGAAAAATCCTTCCCCATTTTGGCACTATCCGCACTTGAATTGCTTATCCACCTTTCTTCCTATTTGCAGCAAATACCGAAACTCCAATTGCCCCCATAGCCCTTAACGAGACGCATCCTTCCAGGAACGATGGGATCGCCCGAATTTCTTATACCCATTTCACGATAACTGTTTGTCTTAAGATGCCTTATCCCATTCCAGTGAAAAGATATAAATTCCTACCGATCGACGCAAACGGAGAAACCTTCACCCGACACGTCCTTAAATGGTCAAACAGTCTTCAAGTTCGTTTTCCTTCACAGTTCAAAAACAGTTTGACATCCGACGGCCCGTGCCAAAGGCAGCAAACACGACACACACGGCGTAGACGGCGACGGTTGCGGATGACGATGATGACGACAACGACAACGACGACGGCCAACTGAACACTGGTTTGCTCCTGGCCTCTGTGATAGGAAGTGTCGGTGGAAAATCCGACTCAGGATAATCGAAAAACGCACGCAGAGAGCGTGCGGTCCCTCTCATGATGACTCGAAGGATTTTCCTCCACAGGAATTTCCTACTCTGTTATGATTTTGCATAGGAGGGCAATGTGTGTGTGTGTGTTGGTATGGGAAATTAATTCTCTTCTCGTGATCATCTGTTGGGAGATTTTATCCAATTGGAGCGAGAGCAAATAACGGAGCGCTTGTGTTAGTAGTATCCTTATTGGTGGATGACGAGGTTGGTGTTGTTCTGTTATCAGTGGAAGTTGGGCTGGATGTGACGGGAAGCTCATAGGGTGGTTCGTTTAGAGGTTAGTTTCTCATCTTCTACTGTAGCCAGCACCGTACTCAGCAGGTGGTGAAGGTGGCGTTTGTCCTGAGGGGCGGAAAAATTGCTTGGATTTTATAAAACTACATTAGGATTTTTGTTCACTCATCGCCATGATTGAAATTAAATCTAGACAAACATTTCTGAAGGTCCTATCTGAAATTTGTAAGCAAATCGATTTTAAGACCATCTCTAAGTTTTACTCTGGTCTTAGAGTTACCTCTATGGTACCAGTGCTGAGTCAAAAAGATGAGCACGTTTCTTCGGGACCTTCTGGTCTTAGATTTACCTATATGGTATTAGCATAGAGGTAACTCTAAGACTAGAAGGTCCCGAAATAACGTGCTCAACTTTTTGGCTCAGCTCTGGTACTCTCTTCGGTCCCAAGCTAATCGATTCACCCCTCGAAACATAGGAAACCAATAACCCCTCATTGTATCTGTCAAACTTTCATAACGAATCAAAACAAACATTGCGTAGTACTAGAATTTCAACTAGAATGGGATACGCAGAGCTGGTAGCGAGTCACTTTTTAGTGACTTGGTAACTTTTTTCAAGTCAGTAACTAAAAAGTCTCTTTTTTTAAGGCCAAGTCACTAAAGTCACTTTTTCTTGTAATGAGTCACTATTTTAAACTTTTTTAAACGTGACTTTATTTCAAGATTGATCATTCTTCTGAATACGCCTACATTTTACTCTATTTTTTGAGCAATTCGATGTTGACGACCTTGTATAGAGTTTTTTACGTTTAATCGTTCTTCTCTATCTATAGGGTGTCCACTTATTTGGCTAAATAAAGTTCTCTGAGTTTTCCTGGTTTTTCCATAACTTTGGCGGATAATTTCCACGTTTATAATAAGAATACTATTTATGAAATGCTTTAAAAATATATTTTTAACGCAAACGCTTTTAAGACATGACAATCAGCTGTAAATAAACAGCTCTACTATCAAATCCATTAAATGTTGAAGTTGAACACTTTAAAGAGCCTGATTTTTTAAAGAGGTGACATCTTATCCATTTGGCAGATCTTCTTTTCGATTGGAATGACTTTTCCCATGACTTTGACAGACAATCGATTGTTCCAATTTTGACATGTCGTCTCTTTATAAATTCAGGCTCTTTAGAACACTTAATTCATTTTAGTATGTCTAAGATCACAACATTTTTAATGTCGTTACGTTTCGTACTAACAAAAATGTGGAATCTTCAATGAAGTTTTATTGATCTAAAAAATGTTAGATCTAGAGATTTTTAGGGAATTCCAGAGAAGGGGGAAGTCCCCTAAAATTTAGCCCAGACTATTGAATTTGTTTAAAAACCTATATGCGTGAGTTTAGACAAATTCAGAATAGTTCCATGTTGCGCTGATATAATATCATGAACCCATAAGATGTTCCGAAAGATTTAGTACAGAGACTTTCAGAAAATTTATGAAAACTTCAGAAATATTTTTGAATAACTTCACTTAAATCCAGAGAATTCCAGGGAAGTTTAAAGGTGTTTACGAGTTCCATTTATTTTAAAGCAGAATCGAGATCTTCATTAGAGTTGAGAGTTTTAGGGAAGCTCCGAGAACATCAAGACATATCAGAGAATTAAATGGCAGTTCAAAAAAATTCAAGCAAATTGCTGAAACCAGAATTTCCAGAAACTTCGGTTTGCTCAGAGAAAATTTCTGGAACGCAATAAAAATTATATGAACATCCGGAAAATGTGAGAGTATTTCAAGGGTGTTATATCATGGAAATTTCAAGAAATTAAAAAATGTGAGAATGTAGCTAAGTTGATAAGAGAACATCAACGAAGTTCCATCAATAAAAAAAAACGAGAACTTTTAGCAACCACCGATATTTTCAAGAAATTTCAGAGAACGTCTAAGAAATTTAGATATTTTTAGATTGTTTCATTATATTCAGTGAAGTTCCGAGTACTTCGAGGACGATCAGATAACATAAGAAAAATCACATTAACTTAAGGAAATTTGCAACGACTTACAAGGAGTTCCTTAGATTTATGGGATATTTCGAAAACTTTAGAAGCATCAGGGAATTATAAATATATATCAGAAAATTTACCGGAACATTTGATCAATTTAGAGAAATTAAAATAAGCATAGAAAACTTCTGGGATGCCTAGGCTTTTCAGGGAAAATTAGTGATTTAAAGCAAAGTTCCGTAAGCGTTTATAAACTTTATAAAACTTAAGAAAAATTGTAGAACTTCAACCAGTTAATGGTCGTTTAAGGAAATCAAGAAATATTTTGAGCAGTTTTAAAAACATCAGGAAACTCTAGACTATTGAAAAAGTTATGAATTTGTTTCGATAAATTTAACTTCAGACAAACCTTAGAACTTCAGTTCATTGAAGTATATGAATTATTTATCTGCGGAAGCTTAAAAAAGTTTCTGAAATTTCAGAATAACTTCGAAAACTTCAGAGAACTCAAAGAAGTACAGAGATCTTCAGAAACATTTCCAGAACTTCATAAAGGTCTGTGGAACTTAAGAAAATATCCGAGAACTTCAGGAACTTTTATGGACATTTCGGGAGCATCTCAAATTAGTTTAGTAAAGCTCCAAAAACAAATGGGAATTTCAGAGGAGTTCAGTTCCAGTAGTTTCACTAAATTAGCGGAAAATTTCAAGAAGTTACCAGATTTTCAGAGAACTTCAGAGATGTTTAGAAAATTGTTGAGTTTTTCACATAAGTCCAGAAGTTCACGCAAGCTTAAACATTTTTAGAATAGTTTAATAATATTCATAGTAGTACCACCGACGAACCGACGTGACAGCTCATACAAGCTACTTTCAAATTCGTGCCCAAGACGCCATATTTAAAATACGTTAAACACTGCCGACATCTACTCATCCGATCCCGTCATACCATGAGCAAGGACACGAACCCACGTATTATTTATATTTCCTTGGTTTGCGTCTCACCTTCTTTTAACAGAACTGATCGCCCGTTTGAAAGTTCGAATTGTGGACAAACGAAATGCTCCTGTGGCATGACGGTTCATCGGTGGTAGTACAATAAGCTTCATGAGAATTGCAAACACTTAAGAGAAGTTTCGAGAGCTTCGAGAAAGATATTGATATCTCGCTAATAAAGCTCTAAACAACAACAAAATTCAAGAAAAAACAGATATCTTCTGAGCAGAGATATTCCAGAGCAGGGAAATTACATAAATTTAAAAAAAAGTCTCGAGAAATTAAGTGAATTTTTAACACTTTAGAGAAGATTCATTATCGTTAGGAAAATTGTGGAAACCTTAGGAAGTCCGAAAAAGTTTAGAGAAGTTTAAAACAATGATGAGAAGAATTGCGAGCTAGCCGGTCGAACTCCGGACGAAGCTAGAACAGCACTACCGTTCATACTGGCGACAACGCTCTGATGAGACAACGAAACCCTACCCCAAGCTCCTCCCCTGATCCTATCCTTGGAAAATGTACCCTTCTAACCTCGAGTAAGCCGCGAGTAATCGGCCCAACTCCTACTAGACATAGAATTAAGTGAATTTTGTTACACACAGTGAACAATGAATTATCGGCTCCGTAAAGCTAACGCGATTGAGCCTTCCAAATAAACGAACTAGATAAAAAAAGAATTGCGAGCATCAGACTACTTTCTCAAACTACAAAAGAACTTCAAGGCAATTTAATTAACTTCAGGAATATTTTGGGAACTTTCAAGTAGTTCTGAAGACCTCAGAATAGTCCATTCCATATTCAACGCAGATTTCTCATGAACATTCGCTTGGAGTTTACTATCTTAGGCTTAGGCTTCACATGAAGATTAATCCAGAGTTCAATGTGTGAATGAAAATAACTAGGAATATTATTTTATTTATCACTTTAAAATGAATTTTATTTTAATTTTAGAAAGAAAATTATTAAATTTCCTGAATAATGATAAGATTCCCTGACACTTCCCTTCCAGGTATTTTCAGGAAAAGGGGTTTTCCAGATAGTAGAAGCTTGGAGGTTTTGAGGTTTAGTCATAAACTTTCTATTGAATCTTTCGCTTTAGTGGTTCCTATCTTACATATTTAGATGTTTATGAGAACCTCTAAAACATCAAATATTTACATATACGACTAATTTTCTACCCTTGGGTCACTTTTTAGTCACTTTTTTACAACTATAAGTCACTATTTGGTCACTTATTTCTTCAAAATGGTCACTAAAATCACTATTTTTGACAGCATTGATCGCTACCAGCCCTGGATACGTTAATCGTTTGCTTGGGACCAATAGGCTAGTCAAGTAGTGAGCCAATTTAAAATCGTTAGTTTCGTATTGATTGTTGGTATTAGTCTATGTATCCATCTACCGTTCTCCGCCGTGTTCCACTTCTGTTGTCACTTAGCCAATGACTCCACTCTCACAACTTTCCGTACTCTTCCGGCTTCTCTCCGCCTGTAGTACTCGCTGTTCTCCGCCAGGGTGATGCCGATAGGGATCATACCGGCGATGAGGCTTGCTTCCACTCACTTGTTATAACAACATGATTTTCTGAATTTTGAAATCATTAGATGTTATAATCATATTTTGTACTTGTTAGATACAAGAAGAGGTTGAAAGGCAAGT